TATTTAAACTTACATTTACAACTAGTATCTTTACTTCTTACAAGCTTATTACTACATGTCTTAAGACTACCTTAGATATTTCTTGCAAGCTTATATTCTTAAAGGAACTCTATAGATCTATTTCACAAACTTATATAGGGCTACCATTAGCATATATTTAACATAGCAAACACCTAAAGATTTCTTAACAGAGATCTAACAAGAAAATTTTTACAAACTCACATATCTTATTTTCATCTTTTTATCTATTTCTTACTCTTAATTATTATTACTATCTCTATTAGAAAGATTCTCTTAACTAGACAGGAAGTACGCACATCATTTCTAAAGTTTAGAGTTTATAGTCAGCTTTGTTATAAAGCACTGGGATTTAGTGAGTGTTGTTGCTAGGGGACTGTAACCTTCCCAGGATGATGCCACACTCCAAAGTTGCCAGTTCTCTCAGTCATTCCTGACCGGCAGAGATGCACTGTCAGCGGTAGACAGTTTTTAACTAGAGGCTGTCCCTTCACCCAAATTCATAATAGGTCCCCTCAGTGCTTCAATTCAGACAAACATTTCTATTACAGCAATACTTTTGGTTTGCTCTACCAAAAAACGTCACTTCACGCTGAGGGTGATATTACCGTATTTAGCTGCTGTAAAGCTCTTTGCCAAATACTGCACAGCTATTAGGTGATATAAAGTATTTTTCTAAAGAAGCTAGTAAAGCCAAAAGGGGCACAGCTCTGTCTCTATTTCCTCACTGTTTGCATTAACCAGTGACAAAACCTCAGAAACACTAATCGAGCCACTTTCATTCTGGTTCCTTTATAGGAATGTCATTGGAGCTGAATTCTCTTAGTTCCATGCTCCTTACAAATGCTCCAGTAACCACCGAGCTTCATTCTCCTCTTGTGAAAAAACACAAACATGTCCTCGATCCCATATTAAAACAGGATCAAGACCCTTCCATAATCCCGAGCAGGGATCTTTTCATTTCACTTGAGCAAAAGTCGCTTGGGTGCCACTGTGCCAAAATCTGCGGCAGACTGCTCATAGATATCCATATTAAAAAGTTCAGAACAAAAAGAGCATGATTTAATGCATTATGTGGCAATTGAGGGTAAATTTCTTCCTTTTTTATATTTAGTTTTTGAAGTTCTATTTTAAGACTGCTATGAGCGCTTTCCACAGTACCTTGTCCCTGAGGGTTATAAGGAATACCTGTTTTATGTACGATTTCCCATTGGGTACAAAATTGTTGAAACGCCTTACTACTATATCCAGAACCATTATCAGTTCTAATAATTTTTGGTAAACCCATATATGAAAAACACTTCAAGCAGTGCATAATTACATGTTTTGTAGCTTCCCCAGGTTGTGCATTAGCCATTAAAAATCCTGAATAAGTGTCAATGGTCACATGGACATACCTTAATTTGCCAAATTCTACAATATGAGTAACATCCATTTGCCATAGATGATTGGGAAGAAGACCTAGAGGGTTTACCCCTAAGTGAGAGATGGGAAAATATTTTGGACATATCCCACATCGTTTACCTATTTGATGAGCTACTTCTTTGATAAGATTGAATTGCTTTCTTAAGCTTTTGCTATTTTGATGAAGAGCATGTGACTGCTGAGCCATTTCCACTTGGGATAATGCTCAGCCATTGCATCACCCTTAGCTAAAGGACCTGGAAGATTGGGGTGAGCTCTAATATGGCCCACAAAGCATGGCAGCTTTCTTTTGTGAATAGCGTTTTGAATTTGTTGAAACATTTTGACCTGATTGTTGTTAGTTCCAATATTGTCACCAAAACTGTTACTAATCAAAGGAGTCAAGAACATAGATGTTCTTTCATGAAAGGTATCCTTCATTAGCTTACTTTGAGAAAAAGCATTTTCAGGATCTAGTATTTTCATTTCATTAGCTTTAACTCCGGATGTTATTAGCAGCTGTGATATTTAGCATTGATTTCTTATAAGGAACTTTCAGGTAAAGCAACTCTTTTGTAAGACAGCTAGATTTTCTGAAGTTTTTCCAGTCTATAAAGCAGTCATTTCTTTTTTTGAATGCCTGTTTCCTTGTCTCCTTATTAGATTTGCAAAGGAATTACTCATTTCAGGTAGTTTGTTCAAAAGGCAAAGAACTTTAATTTCAACATAAGTTTCTTCATATCTAAGACAACGTTCAGTGTATAAACTGTTTTCCCTTGTTTTAAGGATTTTAAAGTGGCTAGTTTGCTCTTATAGGTAGCTTTTTGTCATCCAACTACCGTAAAAACTTTGCACAGCTATTAGGGTAAATAAGGCCTTTTACCAATAGAGCCCCAAACCGCAAAGGACCTAGTTCTGTCCTTTCAATTTTTCATTGGAACTGACACTTAAACTCTTAGACGATTTTCCTCCTTACTCTTTTAAAAGTTGTATTTTAAGTTTACCATGAATGTATTTTCAAGCTGACAAAAGTGTTTCAGGGCAATGTCACCATCTTTAGTGGAAAAACTACCCTTCCCAGAATGCATTTCCCTTGTATCAGTCCAAAATAATATCAGTCCCTTATATCAGTCATTTCCCATAGTTCTTTTTGGGTCTGAGAGTCAGTTGGTTCTCTTTTACCAGACTTGCTTACAAATTCTTGCCCAGGAGGTTTGAACAAAGTTTTTTGCTTTTGCAACAGGAGATGTGAACAAGCATCATACATTTTCAATTATGAGACATGGGGAGGTTTCTATTCTCTCCTCAGCTGGCTTCAACAGGTGTCTCTCCTTCACTTGACACTGCACCTGCCTCATTAGCCAGCATTGAGGCTGGCATTTCTGATAGCAACTTTCCTAGGGGCTTGTGTTTGTCTTAGCCAGTCAGTGAAAAACAAGATCATGTACAACAGCTTTTCCATACCTCTTTCAGAGAGATTTTCTCCCACTGATTTAATTCTCATTTTGCTTGCCCCCCACCCCCAGATACAGAGCTTCAGCTATCTGTCTGCGGCTCTGTACCTATGCTAGCTGCTTTTGGAGGTAGGGGCTTTTTTTTTCTCCCCCGAATCTGCCTCAGATTCTAGCAGCTTTTCAGGTCATATATTTTCTAGGGAGGATTATGTCCCATCTCTGTTTCTTCAGAGTCTTTCTCCCAGACAGTATCCAGTTTGGTCTCAGTTTATCCCCTCGACCCCAGAAACAGTTTCCAACACTACAGTGGTGGCTTTCCCTGCTGCTGAAGGTAGGGGCTTTTTATCCATTTCTGTTTTCGGGGTCTGTGTGATTTGCGTACAGACTGAAAATCTAACAAGGGAGGATTTTGCCATTTCTAAACTCCCATTAGGACAGGTGTTTTGCCTCATCAGGCCTTCACCTGGCCCAGTCCCCCAGTGGGTTGTGTTTGCTTGTCTGGGTGCTCAAGGACAGCGCTTATGCCAGAGGCAATCACCCCTTAGGGCTACACTCCCTCATCTCAGGGAGTCAGTTGAAACAAAGCTTTTCTCAAAGAGATGCTTTCTCCCAATAGAAAAGAAAGCTTTACTCCTGGATAGTTCTGTTTTGCCCTGGCTGGGCTCTTTCCCCAGACAGCGTTCTGACTCAGCTGCACAACTGCTTCAGACACAGTTTAGCTTTACTGTTTTCCCAGAAAGGTCCTTACTCTGATAGGAAAGCTTTTCTCAGATTGTTTTGCAGCCGTGGACCTATCAACCCGGGACTTGTAGGAAATTGCACAACTGTGCCGTTCCCACTGGCTTTAGCTTTGTTTGTTCATTAGCAATCTTTCCCTGGGTCCTGCACCTTCCTGCCTCAGCTCTGTGCTCCAGGAAGTTTGCAACTGCAGGAACCCTAGTATCCTGGAAATGCACTCCAACTCAGAGACACTGGGTTTTTGCTCAGAAACAAGGATACCATGCAAACAGTTTGCATTGCTTCAAGGGATCTTTGCATTAGAATGATTAGGAGTATCTTTTCATTCTGAAACGCTCACTCAGAAACAAAACCCTTGATGCCTCAGCTCGGCTGTAACAGAAAAGCTTGGCTTTTTAGCTTTTCTCAGGTAAAGTTTCCTGCCCTTTTGGGCTCTCTGTAGCTCTTTACCCACACTGTCCCAAGCGTTTCCCTCAGAGGACTCTGACCCACTGTCTTTTACTTGCTTGAAGAGACAGAGCTTAGAGAGGTTTTTAGAAACTTGTCCCTGCCTCCTGCATTGCAGGGAGGATTGTTAAAGCTTGAAAGAACTTAGAGAGGTTTTGCTGTCTTAAGAAGTTTGTTGTTTTCCCTTTGAGCTAATCACAGGTGGTCCCCATACTAATATTTCCAGGTGATTCTAATTTGTCCTTCTGAGAGAGAAAGTCAAAGGCTTTCGTTTTTAAGTTTAAGAGAGCTTTTGAGAAAGATTAAGGCTTTTTAGAGAGATCCCACCCCCAAATTTTCCAAGAAAAGCTTTTTAGTTTAAGAGAGATTTTTTTTCCCCTGGAGGTGTCTGGTCACCTGAGAACTGGGTGGACCCCAGAGCCTGGTCTCCCCTGTGTGGACAGGGACTGTGGCCTGTCCTCAGGATGAACGCTGCCTCAGCCTCTGCAGAGAGATGTGTGTGAGCTCACAACACAGAAGAGTCTTGTACCAAACACTTATGTGAGAATGTAGTGTCACAGCTTCTTCAGAGGGCTGAGATGGGGATTGTTGGAGACGCACAAGGATCAGGACGTGAACTCAACTATTTTATTATAGCAAAATATTTTTATTTATAATTTACAGTTCACAAGAGAAAAATCATACATTTTTACACATGCAATTTCATTTTGTTAAATTTGCACTCACCTAGAGAACTTTCACACAAGTACCTGAAACTGTGCAGGCATTAGGAAATGCAAATACTAAAACCTATTTAAAAACCAAATGATAGTTGAAGGCCCTGCCTCAGCTAGACAATTTATAGAGATAGATGTCTATATATACATAAAAAACTTCACTTTCTAGATCCAACAGCAGCTTTTGCTACAAAAAAACAAAACCATAACATCCCCATTTTATTTAAACTGACTCAACTGTATCATTTTCTGTTTTAATGTCAGTGGGTGTTGCTATACTTTCTTCTGAACAGGCTGGTGGGGCATCAGTTTGCTCTTCCTTAACTTTGAGACTTTCACAGGGTTCTTGCAAATCCTTTTTGACAGTGTTCAACATAATGTTCCAAGGGTTTTCAACTGGTGTCTTCATGGCAGATGGTTTAAAATCAAAAGAAGATGTATTTTGGTCATCTGCATAACACGATGGATGGTAAATCTTTCCGTCTACTCCAATAGCATTCTTTAAGTGCCATTCCTCCTCCTCTTCATCCCAGTACTGTTCAAATTGTTCTTGACAAATTTCACAACTCTCAAGTGCTCCAAATGGTCCAGCAGGGACACTTTGGAACTCCTTTGCTTTAGAAGCCTCCTGAGATTTTTGGACAATGTCTTTATGAACCTTTTCAAAACACTGGTGTTCTGCACGTTCTTCCAGATCAGCTATTTCTTCAAATTCTATCCAGTCCTTTAAACTGCAGTACCAACGTCTATGAGTGACCTTTCTGCTAACATCTTTCTTAGTTCTATTTTGCTGATAATGCCAGTCCAAGTGATCTGCATAAACATCTCTCTGAGATGTCAGAAACCTCATTCCACAAGAAGAACACTGATTCCCCATGTACAGCCGGTTTATGATACTGTCATAACGATGTTTCAATTCTTCAGTTTTAAAGTTAGTGAGATCTGGAACATCTTGATCTTCATTCTGATCCTTTACCTCTTCAGAGGGAGGCTGAGCATCAGCCTCCTTTTCCTGTATTGCAGTTGAATCAGGCTGTGACAATTTGAGAATTCCTGCTTTTAGCAGTTTTGAAAACAATTCATGTACATCCACCTCACTGAGATGATGATCGGGATATGCCTTAGGAAGACCTCCTGAAGGATTTTGAATAAAAGCTCCAGCATTCTGTGGATGAACTGGTAAAAACTGTTGTCCTTGGACAAATGCTACTGGCTGAGCAACACCAGTCAGAACCTGTTGAGATGTCTGAATATGTCCTACTGACATTGGACTAGGTAAAGTGCCCAAGTTTCCCAACTGAGAACTCTGAAGATTCTTTTCATCAAAATAATGTCCTGAAGCTCTGTTAAGGGCATTTGAGAAATTCTGGTTTCCAGGGCTTTGAGGTCCATTAAAATTGGGTCCTCGAGGTGTATCAAATATTTGTTCATGTCTTTGGTATTGTAGTCTTGGAGATGGAACATTCAAAGCTTTGCCAGGTGGGTCATTATATGGGCTAGTCTGATTGAAAGAGTCAAGCCTTTGTGAGGAATGATTGTCTTGTTGGGTAACTCGTAGACCAAGAGGAATGTCAGATCTTGATGCTTGCTGCTGTTGTGGCCCATCAAATCTTTGAGGTGCACTATCAAATCTCGGTTGAACCTGCTGTCCAGGTGGCACAGCAAATCTCTGTGAACCTGGCTGACCAGTTCTTTTAAATCTAGGACCCGGCTGGCCATGTAATCCATCAAATCTTGTCAAAAGTGATGGCTGACCTGGCTGTCCATCAAACCTTAGAGAGTGACAACCTTCAAATCTTGGACCACCTTGACCCAGAGGTGCTTCAATTCTCAGGCCACCTCCTCGTACAGGACGCTTAAAACTCAATCCAACTTTCTGTTGATCTAAAGGTCCTTCAAACCTGATCCCAAGCCCTGGTTGGCCATGTGGTCCCTCAGACATAAGGTTCCCACCTAGTTGATTATGTCCTTCCAATCTTAGACCAGCTACAGTCTGAACATGGGGACCCTCAAACCTCATTCCAACTCCTTGCTGTAGCAAAGGGCCCTCATATCTGATAGCACCACCTGGCTGATCATGAGACCCATCAAACCTAATTTCATCCCCTGATAGACCATGACCCCCCTCAAATCTAAATCCACCTACAGGCTGACATTGAGGATTATCAAATCTTGGACTGGCTACAGGCTGTCCATGAGGGCCCTGAGACCTCAGACCACCCACAGGCTTACCCCCGGGTCCTTCAAATGGCACACCACCTGTAGATCCCTCGAAACTCACACTAGGTGAACCCTCAGATTGAATACTGTCTCTTTCTCCTCCGTGACCAATTGTCCCTTCACACTGCAGAGTTGTTCCTACTGGTCCTAGAGGAACTTCAAATCTCAAAGGGCCCCCACCTCCTAACTGACCTTGTGGTCCTTCGAATCTCATAGGGCCTCCTCCCCTCATTTGTCCTGGTGACCCATCAAAACAAACAGAACCCGGTGTAGGAGGTGCATCCATTCTAGGGCTTAATTTATTTGGGCCTTCAAAAATCATCTTGGCTGGGACATCTCTCCTCACAGAGGGCCTACCAAGCCCATCAAATAATGGTCGGTCTACAGCTAAAGCTGTAAGCTGCTGATTTGTTTGAAGGCCAGCAAATCTTGATGCTGGGCCATCTACAAATGGTTTATCTGAATCTTCATATCTAGGTCGCTTAAGTGGAAAATAACCATTGAATGGAGATCTCTGCTCCTCTCCTCCACCTTCTTGATCCTGAAAGAGCTGTCCAATTTGATGCACAACACCAAGGAATTCTTCCTGTGTAATTTCACCAGAAGCTAAACGTTCACTCGTCTTTTGAAGGAATTCTCTCTGGCTTGCAAGTGTTAACTCTTTAGGAATCTGAAGATTGGCATCTACCCTTGGTTGATGGTGCTGCTTTGGGGTTCGAGGTGACAAGATTCCTTTAGTGCTTGACCGGCCATCCCTATGCCTTAGATGAGGTGCTTTACTATGTTCATCACAATATTGGAAGCTTTGACTTTCTTCCCAACCAGATTTCCCTCTTTTGGCAGACTTGGAGCTTTGCCAATTCTCTATATTCTCTTTTGGCTCAGAATCTGACTTCATAGAACGTTTACTTGCAGTTTCTTCAGGCCGATCTTCATGCATCTCTTTCAGCAGTCTGGGATCTCGAACATCCTGCTTAGTACTTCTTTTAACATTTCTTTCTTCCCTAGAAGGTGCTGGGAACTCTTCCATATGTAACTGTGTAAGTCCTGACTGATCTGTCTTTCCAGCTTTGGGGGCCAATGTTGAAAACATACTTCTTTGCTTTCCTTTGGGTGACCAAGACTGAGGTGACCTCGATCTTGATCTCTTTTGAGAACTTGATCTCCCTGGTTTTGTCTCCTGTTTTTCTAATTCTTCTTTAACCATGCCCTGTGTTTGCGCAATGCCATTTATGATTTCACTTCTACTTCCAATCAGCCTGTGTTCAGATGATTTTATGTGCTCCTCTTTCTGCTTCTGAAGCTCCAGGTTTTTCTGCTGAAGTTCTAACAACTGTTTTTGTTTTTCAAGTATCTCTTGCCTTATTCGTTGTTCTTGAGTAAGATTCTTCTGTACATGAGGTACATTTGGGGGAGTGGAAATACTGGGGGAGCTGACCACTGTACCAGGTGCTGAAGGCTCCTCAGGTGATTTATTTAAAAATTTGGGAGTCATATGGATGCTAGATATCTTCACATTAGGGGGCAGAGGTTTAATAGGCCAAGCAGGATCTAATGAATTGACTCTGACATCTAAGGCATAAAGTTTCTTCAAAGGGAATATTTTATCCCATGTGGAACGTAATTCAAATAAACTTTTTCTTGTATTTCGATCCACCTTTTCAAACACACAGATAAATGTTGCAACTAGATTTTTAGTAAAGGCAGTGAGATACTCTTTTCCAACGTTTTTCACAATAGAATCCATAAGGTACAGAAGAGGAAGCTTCTCTGAGGAAGGAGCCTTGGCCGTTTGGGCCTCAATGAGAGAGACGATCTCCTTGGCGAAGGGCAGGTTCTCCTGAGCTACAATGGTCAACATATTGATGTGCGGTTTGCTATTGAAAGTCAGGTCTTCCAGCGATGACTGATAATCCCGACAGATGTCTTCCAGGGATCTGGCAGCCCCTGCCTTGGCCGCAATCTGCTCTGACATTGTGCCAAGGCCCCCCTCCAAGGTCTGCTACTGCCTAAGGTGAAGCACTGGATACCCTCCTCCCTTGCTAAGCCTAGGCCTTGCTCCCTAATTCTCCTGAGGCTGGGGCTTCACTGCATGTATACCTTGGAGGAAGGGTGGGGAGCAACCCAGGTGGATCCTCAGGGAAGAAATGTCACAGCCTAACCGGGAATCTGTCCTTTGACCTACAGTCTGTCCTTAGCTTCTTCTAACTAAACTCCAGCTTTTCCTGATCCAGTTCTAACAACTGTTTTTTTTTGCAAGTAATTGTTTGTAGATGAATTTATAAATAGTTTTATTAAATAAGTAACACAGCCAAATACAGGGGTAATAGCTGAAGTGATAGAGAAGTAGCAAAAAGCCACAAGCAGCCTTACCTTACCTGCACGCTGTAGCCTTCACAAAGAGAGCCTCTTCCTGTCTAACCTCTGCTTTTATAGGCTTCCTGTTCTGCCTTCTCATTGGCTCTAAGCCCAGCCACGTCACTTCCTCGTCACTGCCCATCTATACAGACCTAGAAATAAAGGGTGTGTCACAGAGACCCTGCCTATCACATGATCGGTATTAAGGGCGTGTCTACCACTGACCTTAATCCGATCACGTGATAGGCAGGGTCTCTGTGCCAGGTGATGAAGGCTCCTCAGGTGATTTATTTAAAAATGTGGACTTTAGGTAGATGCTAGATGTCTTCACATTGGGGGTCAGAGGTTTAATAGGCCAAGCAGGATCTAATGAATTGACTCTGACATCCAAGGCACAAAGTTTCTTCAAAGGGAATATTTCATCCCATGTGGAACGTAATTTAAATAAAATTTTTTTCTAGTATTTTCATCCACCTTTTCAGACACACAAATAAATGTTGCAACAAGATTTTCAGTGAAGGCAGTGAGATACTCTCTTCCAATGTTTTTCCCGATAGAATCCATAAGGTACATAAGAGGAAGCTTCTCTGACGAAGGAAACTTGGCGGTTTGGGCCTCAATGAGAGAGGATCTTCTTGGCAAAGGGCAGGTTCTCCTAGGCTACCATGGTCAGCATACTGATGTGTGGTTTGCTATGGAAGGTCAGGTCTTCCATCAACGACTGATAATCCTGACAGGTGTCCTCCCTTGTCCCGGAGCCCTGGCCTCAGCCAGAGTCTGCTCTGACATAGCGCCTATGCCGGGCGGCCTCTCTCTGCAGTCAGTGCTGCCAAAGCTGAAGCTGCTCCACACCATGCCTCCCTTCTAACACCTGGGCTGTGCTCCCCAGCTCTCTAGGGGCTGTGGCTTTACCACAGGCTGATCAAGGAGGAGGGATGGGGGACCACCCTGGGGAAACTCAGGGAAGAAATGCCACATTTCACTGGGAATCTCTGTCCACTTCCAGGAGCCACTGAGGCTCCTTTCTCAACACACACAAAAAGGCCCAGTTAATTGTTTCAATGGGATTCCAGAGTGTTTGAAAGATGGGTTCCCAGGAGGTGCTGTCTTTACTGAGAAGGTCTAGACTTAACTTTATACGCTCCAACCTAGGGAAAGTTCCACCATCTTAGACTTGACCTTACAGGCTCCATCTTAGGGAAAGGGCCACCATCTTAGACTGCCTGCTGTACTCAGTAAGAGTTTATTAGCCTGGTGGTGGTGGTGGCACAAGACTTTAATCCTAGCACTCCAGGAGGCCTCTGAGTTTGAGGCCTGCCAGGGCTACAAAGTGAGTTCCAGGAAATGGGCAAAGCTACACAGAGAAACCTTGTAAAGAGAGAGAGAGACAGAGACAGAGACAGACAGAGACAGAGACAGAGAGAGTTTACCAGGGGAAGGATGCTGAAGTGGGTGCTTAGGCCTGTGGGAAATAATTGTGCAGGAAGAAAGGAAAGGGATAAAAAGGAACTGGCTTGTTATAGATGACCCCCCTCCCCAACCCACACACAAGCACATATGGTTTTAAGTAGCTATGCCCCACCTGCACATAGATCATGTGATCATGCTGCACACATATTATGAGACCAAGAGGCACAGGTATTAGGTAAGATGTAAGGCACTCAGAGACTCACTAGAAATTCTCCCATTCTCTCTAGTCTGTTTTCTTTTTAGGGTGGGGGGGGAGAGGTTCCCTTAGAAGCCTTCTATGTTTATTATTGTCACTTGTGGGTCTGCAGTTATTAATATCACTGCAAAAGAAGCTTCCTTGCCCCTCACCCTCTTTTTGAGCCTGCCTCTGCCTTTGCCCACTTGGTTTGGAATTGTGGACCTTCCTGCCTCAGCCTCACAAGTAGTTGAAATTACAGGACTGAACCCTAGGTCCAGATATATTTTTGTTTTCATTTGATTTTAGAAATGATCTACAGTTTTATTTTTTAATTTTAATTTATTTGTGTAGTTGTTTTGTCTACATGAGTATGCGTCTGCCCTGGTAGATTTCCGTGCTTCTTTTTTTTGGTAATTCCTTACTATCCCTTCATTTTCCATTTCAGAATTTGGAATGGATATTTTGTGGTGAGGTTATATGTCAGAAAAATGTCACTTGTATGGTTTTCTTTTTTGGAGAAAATGTTTCTCTGAGTAGCCCTGGCTATCCTGGAACTCACTATGTAGAAGGGTTGGCCTGGAATTCAGAGACCTGCATGCCTCGGCCTCAGTGCTGAGTGCTGGGATTAAAGGCTTGCACCACCTGGTAGAAATATGTGACTTTACCAGAGCTGCCAATGTAAGGACTGCCTAGAGTTTCAGTGTTTGAATGGACTTTGGACTCATTATTATTACATTTATTTCGTGTGTGTGTGTGTGTGTGTGTGTGTGTGTGTGTGTGTGTGTGTGTGTAACATATTGGGTGTTGTCATCAGGGGACCACTTACAAGTGTTGTTTCTCTCCCTCCATCAAATGGGTCCCAGGGATGGAACTCAGGTCCACAGGCTTCATCGCAAGTAGCTTCACCTGCTGAGTCAGCTAGTCAGCTTGGGCTTTGGGCTTTTAGATAGTGTTGGAATAGTTGATCATGACAGATCTTTTGCAATTGGACTGAGTGCATTTTGTGTGATTAAGTCTCTGATCACATGAAAGCAGTGATCCATTTTGCAGAAAGCACCAGGAGTCAGTTTGTGGATCCTTGAATACTACACAAGAAGGTGGAGCTCCATTCCCCATGAAGATGCCAGTTTCAGAGCCAAACTCCAGAAGTAGTCATGCTGAAAAAGAGAGTGGAGAAACACAGAGCAAAAACAGGAAGATAAATGTAGCATGAATCTTAAAAGGTCTTAATATAAACAAACCCAGAGCCAGATATTGGGGTGAATGCTGGAATCAGAAAATCTGACAAGCCACAGCTTCCTAACCTTGCCTATTCCTCAGATGATTCTGTTTCCTCAGACTGGAAGCCTCTGAGTCCTCATCCAGAATGAATCTCACCTGAACTGCTTCTAAAAGCCTAAAAGCTTAACCAGGTCAAATTCCTGGTTTTCACACCTTATATACCTTCCTGGGATTAAAGGCTCACTTTGTGGGATAAAAGGCATGAGTCCAGATACCTCAGTAGTTGGATGGGGTTTCTAGCATGACAATTAGGGTGTTTGGCCATCCCATCACCAGAGTAGGTCAGTTCGGTCTGTCTCTCGACCATTGCCAGCAGTCTGTTGTGGGGGTATCTTTGTGGATTTCTGTGAGCCTCTCTAGCACTTTGCTTCTTCCTATTCTCATGTGATCTCAGTACGTGGGGAAGGCTTTGCCCTGGAGGAGGTGGAAATGGGGGGTGGGCTGGGGGGAAGGTGAGGGCGGCTGGAGAGGGGAGAACAACGGAACCCGTGGCTGATATGTAGAACTGAATTTATTGCAAAATAAAAATAAAAAAATTAAATAAAAAAAAAGGCATGAGTCACCATGCCTGGCTGTTTCAAATGTGGCTTTAAACTCAGAGAGATCCAGATGGATCTCTGTCTCCCAAGTGATAGGATTAAAGGCATGTGTGCACCATTTTCTGGTCTCTATGTCTATCTATGGCTGTTCTGTCCTCTGACCCCAGATAAGTTTATTAGGTTGCACAATATATTGGGGAACACAATATCACCACAGAGAAAATCACTCTCTAGTGTAGAAATAAATGAGGACATCTTGAAGAAAAATAATCCTGAATCAGAAAAGAAATTCAAGACCTATAACTCCAGGAATAAAAGAAGTGAAGGAGAGAAACCAATGGCTTTAAGAGATTAGGGCCAGGCGGTGGTGGCGCGCACCTTTAATCCCAGCACTCGGGAGGCAGAGGCAGGCGGATCTCTGTGAGTTCGAGGCCAGCCTGGGCTACCAAGTGAGTTCCAGGAAAGGCGCAAAGCTACACAGAGAAACCCTGTCTTGAAAAACCAAAAAAAAAAAAAAAAAGAGAGAGATTAGGAAAAGCCTGACATTGGGAAACTTGAACCTTCATTCAATCCCAACACCTGCTTGCGGCCTAACCTGGATGACACTATTCTTCCAACACTCATGATCTGATGAAAGTGGATCAAACTTTAGCCAGGAGACCCAAACATACACATATAATGAAGTCCAGCCTTCTCAAGACATTTATGTAAAGGAATTGAAATGTGAAGGCTTCTCCAATTTGGGAAATACCTGTTACATGAAATCGATTTTATAGCCTGTCTTTGGGATTCCAACCTTTGCAAAGGACTTGCTTACAAAAGGTATCCCATGGGAGAAAGTTTCAAATGATGATCTTATCAAGCCCTTAAGCCAACTGCTTGTCTTGAAAGACATCCAGGATATAGAGGTCAAAGGGGTGTTACTCATGAATGTGAAGAAACCCATTATCACAGTTGCAGACACATTCTTGGGTGATGAACAGAATGATGCCCATGAATTTCTAAGTCAGTGTTTAGACCAGATGAAAGTGAACATGGAAAAACTAAATACCATGTAGATTATTGAGAGAGATAATGAAGCCAAGAGTTCATCTCCATCAACATATGCTGGGACTGCCACCAACAAAAGGTTTGTTTGTCCTGTCAGTG